CTGTCCCTCGTATGGAGTGATGATACCGATATCTCTAGGCTGAACACCTGCCTTGAAGAAGCGCGTGACAATCTTCTCGACATTGGTAGCTTCAGTGCGATTAAGATATGAGGTGCCCGACGCGGATATTTCTTCATTGCCCAGGTTTGACCAAAACATCATGGGATCATCAATGATGGGCCAAGGGAAGTCAACGTCACGGCGGACACGATCAGCAATAGTGATACCGTTCTGTAGGGAGCCTTCGTAGAACATATTGGACGGGAATTCCGAAAGGCACGGGTGCATACGATACTGGACATTTAAGCGGATAGGAGAGCAGCCCAAGATGACGAGACGCTCGAACAAAGACTGGTTCAGACCAGCCTTGGCGGCCTTCTTGTTCATGATCACGGGGCCAAGCTGCTGGTGATCACCAACCAGCACAACTTGTTTGCAGCCCAGAACCAGGGGAATCATACACTCGGGCTCAGCAGACTGGGTTGATTCGTCAATCAGAACAGTGCGGAACTTGCCCTTTGACAGACGAGGATCACCTGCACCAACACAAGTACAACAGATCACATCTGCGTTAGTCAAAATCTCACGCTCAGCAGAGCGAGTAAGTTGCTTCAGGCGCTTTTCGTCTTGGCTGGACAATTCTCCAAGTTCGGCCTTGAGCTGGTTGAGTTTCACTAACTCAATGTTGCTATCGTTCATACGAACCTGCTCGTGTAGCGAAAGGAAACCAACGGCAGATTCCACATCCTCGCGAGATTTAGCGGTAACTCGCACGGTCTTGAGACCCGTCCGATGGATACGCTCGCAGAGCTGGTCAACGGCAACGTTGGAGGGAGCGCAGACAAGAACCTGGCCTCCATTGATCTTGGCAAGATGATAGATGATGGTGGCTGAGGTAACGGTCTTACCAGTTCCGGGAGGACCTTGGATCAGACTAAGGGGTCGCTGAAGAACACTCTTAACCGCGTTGATTTGACTGCCATTCAGATCTGGCAGACCTGGAACACTAAATTTCTTCGGAATCTGAGTCTTCATAGGAGCTGCAGCTACCTCATGGCCAAGAAGGCGATGGAAAATGTAACCTGAGACACTTTGTTCATCCACGGCAAATGTCTTCATAGCACATTGCATGCGGTCGAAGGAAGTCGATTTCCAAACATAGTCGGCCATAAAATTGTGCGTGCATTCGGTGGGAACCGACTTGTGGTCGCCCTTGGCGCGTAGTTCGATAGTGACCTCATCAGATTGATTGTTTGGGATCTTGATGACATAGCCCACACCCTCCCACTTGGGACGCAGTTCACCATTGTACTTGATGCGCATCTCGTCACCCACGGCCAATTTGACATCTCCTAACTCAAGCTTGGGCAGTACAAAGCTTGCGAGGTGCTTGTTGTTGAGACCAAGATCCCAACGCACGATGAGTCCATCTTGAGATTGAGATTCTTTCAACTTGCGGTCGTAATCAGCCTCAATCTTAACAAGTGGTCCGAAAATATTCTGGTATTGGAAAGCATCATCGTAGCGAAGTAGCACTGGCGCAGGCTCATCATCCACCGCCGTGGCCTTCTCTAAATCTTCCAGAGTCGCTTGAGAATTGTCCTTCCACATTTCCTCCAGTTTCGCAATCAATTGAGGGCTGAGGTGACGAGCTCGGAGTTGTTCCTGGTCAGTGGGTGCTCCGACGAGCCAGGGGAGGAAAGAACGATCCTCGATAAGAGGCTGCCAGCGTGAAGTGTCCCAGTTCATGTCCTTGGAGGAGGGCATAGAGGCACATGGCTGCCGGCAAAGCAAAACAACAACGGTATCAGATTTGGCGGGGATGAAGCCAAGCAAAAAGACATTTTTAGTGCCACAGTTGTAGCATTCCAGAATAGTATCACCCAAAGAAGAGGCCGGGTGAAGTTGGACTTCCTTATGACGAGCTCGTACAAGATGATTGACGATATGGGAAGAGGAGGTATTGCCACGTGCACTGCAGAACCACTTATTGCACGAAAGACATTTGACGACGCTGCTAGGGTTGTGAATGCCGCAGTACCTATAACATAATCAGTAAATGATCACTCGCAAGGAAGATATAAAAACTGACGCGCATGCATGAGCAGGGAGCTCTATTTCCTCCTCTCCATTTCCTTGGGACTTCTGATTCCCGTTTGTGGGCGCACCGACTGTGCTTTCCATGTCGTCATCTTCGAAGGTATCAGATCCCTCGTCTTCGTCATCATGTCGACGTGGACGCGCGTGACCAAGTGCATTTGAATCAATCTCGTCAATATCAGCTCCCACTGAGGGGCCTTCCGGTTGGTAGCTCATTACGAGTACCAGTTTGGAACGCTGATAGGGATAACTGAAGCTAAGCAAGATTCAAAGCAGAAAGAAACGTAAGAGGTCGTTGAGATCCAAAATGAAACTCGCAGTTGTAAACGATAAAAGAGCGTAGAGGACAATCCGGTCGTCCTATGGGGTGTTCGAGGTTTAAAATCTCCAGGGTGTGCCTGAGGGGCAAACGAATGGAGATCTATATCGGGATATGGGATTAGCGCAAGGTTCTTGACAAGAGCAAATAAGCACATACAACCAGTCCAGCTCTCTGTCTCAGAGGACTGACAAAAGAAAGTCGATGAGTTTGTCTCGAAAGATGAGCAAAAAGCGTCTCCGCAACTGCCCAGATTCTTTATCGGTGCGATCCCACTACGGCTACGCAGATAAACCAAAAGCGCAGCCCCGGAGTTAACAGAGAAAAAAAAAAGTTGCCCGCTCTTCTTTGCTCAAGCCACTTTTACTTCAATCTACAAAATGCTGGTAAGTGAAGGATAGATTTGATAAATTCGATATTTTACTTACTATCAGTAGCGCCGCCAAACTCGCGAGCGTCGCGATTATCTCTATCGCAGAGCTTTGCTGCTCCGTGATGCCTCCATTGCCGAAAAAAGATCGCAACTCAAGGCTTCATTGGCTTCTGGAAAACCTCTAGATCCTACAATCGCAAATGATAAAACGCTTCGGGAAGACTTCAAATATGACGAATCAAAGGACAAGGAAGATGCTGAGATGGACATTGATGATGAATACGTTTTAACCTCCGGCATTATCGATCCCCGTCCTCTGGTTACCACCTCTCGCTCACCCTCCGCTCGTCTCGGCGCATTTGCGAAAGAAATCCGCCTTCTCCTTCCTACATCCATTCGCCTCAATCGTGGAACTCTCGTTCTTGGAGATCTCGTCTCCAGCGCCACCTCCGCGGCTCTGACCGACATGATTCTCCTTCACGAGCACCGTGGTACCCCGACCGCACTCACTATTTCACACCTTCCCCATGGCCCAACCGCCAGCTTCTCTCTTCACAACGTCGTTCTTCGTCAGGATATTCCCAATGCCGCTCGTGGTACCGTGTCAGAAAGCTACCCGCACTTGATTTTTGAAGGATTCAAGACGAAGCTGGGTGCCCGTGTTGTTCAGATTCTGAAGCACCTTTTTCCCCCTCGCGAGACCGGAAAGGTCGGCAACCGTGTTGTGAGTTTTGTGAACAAGGACGACAACATCGAAGTACGCCACCATGTTTTCGTCAAGACTGGGTACCGTGATGTGGAGCTGGCTGAAGTTGGACCTCGCATGACCATGCGACTTTTCGAGATCCGTGGAGGTACATTGGAGAAAGGCTCGAGCGGCGATATCGAATGGGCTCTTACCCAATACACGAGAACCAGCAAAAAGAAGGAATACCTGTGATTCTTTACGAACTCGCATCACTACATTGGCTGTGGTGGGGATGGTTAAAGCAGAACATCCCCTCACATTGTTGATCGACTGGCGTATCTGGCGTTAGAGGGCAATTAGAATGGGTTCTTTTGTCATGTTCAAGTTTATGATTTTGAGAATGTCTAAACCAAATATTAAAGACATGTACAGCAGATTTTTGGGGCCATCAAGACCCAATTTCCTGGCACTGAATTGGTTGCTAGTCTATAATTTATGCTATAGTGTACGAAAACATACAATCCGACTCTCGAGACCTTACAAGGATCTAGACTAATTAGAGACTTCCCCGGTTTTGCTGCACAGATGAGACAAACAATATATCTCCAGGTATAATAAACAAAAACACTAGTATAAACCATCTAGTGGTATGTATATATGCTCTTGGCAGCTTCCTCTCGGGGGGTGTTTAAATCATTTCCATATCCTTATCCATGTTTTAACCAGAAGGACAAACATAGTAGACATCGGAAAATAGAGGCAAAACTGTTCAAAGCAAGCGATGTAAGGTCATGTATAAATTTTTATAGGTAGTACTTGTTGAGGCTGACGGGTGAACTGAGGGCAGATATTCTCAAGGTATCGATGGTACAACCTAGATAAATAGCATACGCGATTGGCAGATTGATCAAAAACAAATATCGTATATCCTCAGAAGACTTTATTCTAGCAATTTTTCGTTAAGGAAGAAGACATGGATATCGCTGAGGCCAAAATTAGCTGCTTCCCCAAGCTTAATGGGACACTACACCTTATAGACGCTGAAGTTGAGCAATTCTGATCTACAAGCAATATCTAAGCTATCAGCTGTCGGGTATATAATGAATTTTCTTATATACATCGTAGGCACGGCAAAGCCAACATAGGCTTCAATCATTTCAAGTGATAGAAGTCAGTTTATCAAGTGGGGGCATGCGCGTAACGCTGCATGTGATTAGCCCTAAAAAGCCACGATCATCCCCGACCCCACCGGAGGCTCCATTACTATAACAACCTTGGAAGGACAGGTAGAGAGTGGATATTACCTACTACAATTTAGGACACCATATAATTTAACATGTTTCTTGAGATATAAGTCAGGGATTGTAGAGTCAAGGATCTCCCTTTGAGTTGTTGACGTTACGGTGGCACAGTTGTGTTGCTGGAAATAATCCATGTCCACCGGGGAATCCACTCACGAGTACAGGTGTTAGCCACCTGGAGGGATTCCCATCATCCCATCATTCACAGGCAGGTAGTACCTAGCTATCCATTTCATCATCCTTATTATCAGCTTCAGGTCCACCTTCGCCCCCATCTTCAACGTGATGATTTGCCATCTTATCCTCGATGCCGTCCTCTTTGATATCGTCATCCGCCTCGGGTCGGTCTTCACCCCCATCTTTAACATGATGATTTGCCGTCTTGTCCTCGATATTGTCCTCTGCGGTGCGGTCGTATTCGCCATTTGACCCTCGAGAACTTGTGATCTGGGGTTCCCTGAGGAATGCACCAAGAATGGTCGTCTTTTCCTCGAGATAGAACCACCCCTCGTGAACAGGCAAACGTTTTCCATCCGGTTCTGCCTTTGGGGGTGGCATCTTTCCGCTTGCTCTTTCGTCCCATTCCTTGCCAGTCTGTGCTTTAAAGAACTGCTTGAATTTGTCCATGGCAAGCTCCAGCTTGCATCTTGGGCCCACCAGAAGCTCGACATTGGATGTGCCAACGCGGCTGAACTTGGTGTAGGTCGAGTAGGTGCGTGGTTCGGTGATGGATTCGAAAAGCTAGGTAATATCAGTATCTTGAGTAAATTCATACAATACCACAATATCACTTACAGTCAATTGGTACTTTTCTCTGCTAGTGACTGGTGGTTTCGATGGACGGAATAATGTGGTGCTGTAAACCACATTGGTCTTTCTGTCCTGGTACACCCGACGCACGGCTGTGATGGGCAAATATTAGACCTGGAGGTGCCTCATCTGATATGAAGATCATGCTTACACTTGCTTTTGCCCTTTGGGCCGAGGAAAGGATCAGCTGTAGAGAATATGTCAGTACCGTCTGCATTGTAGCAATACAATGGAACTCCAGAAACCGATACCTATCCGACGTTTTTTGACCTCCTTGACCACCTTTGAGGACTTCGGCGTGGCCTTCTTCTGGATTTCCTTCTTCTCAGGCTTCATCAGATTTTTCAGAAGATATGGCCCTTCGGGCTTTGGCCGGCGGGTGGATGACAGGAGCGAGTCTTCAAGCCAATCGTATGAAACGATATTGACCGTGCTAATCTTCTTAGCAGTCTCCACTATATGTCGTTGATTAGTTTCGCGGTCTTCGGGATATTCAAGGGTAGTATACCTGAAACTGTATTGTTTTTGAACGCCTCCTTTGTGGCAATGAGATGGGTAACTCGCGAGTTCACGTCTCTCGAGAACTGCCCTCCGTTTGCCCGAATCCATTGTGGGATCTTTTCGCCGACGCCATCTTCAAACTTGCCTGCTATAGAGGCATGAATCCTTTGGAACGGCTTCCCCATTTTGGATTCACGCTGGATGGCTTCTGAGGCAAATGTGTTATGCTGCCAGGAGGGAAGACTGGGATACAGCGAGGAATAGTTTTGTGTGCCAGAGCTTTCGCTTGGATTTTGCTAGCTGCAACAGTGTTTCAGAAATGAAGTGTGTATATTGCTGGAAGGTAAGTCTTTGAGATAATGAATGAGAGGACTAGTTCTATGATGAAGAGGCGGGTGTGACTTCTGCCGTTGACTGGGAATTCCTTCAGAAGAAGAGGCACCTCAGAAATGAAATATGTTTATTGCCAGGGGGCAACGCTTCGAGGAAATACTGTGATATACTGCTCAAGGCTGTGGACTCAGTCTGCTTTTGCAACGTTGTTATGGAATGCACCAAGCATCATGATCTCTGGAGTATGAAAGTGATGAGAAAGCAGAAAATGGGACCTCGAAAGCGATTTGAGATTGAGATCTACTTCAAGAAAGGATCAAAAATATTTCCTGTTGGTATATCAAGTAAAGTCTTTTATCAAACAAGTGAAAGTAAGGCGAAGTAGAATGAAAACCCGGGATAATTGTGCTTGCTATGAATAGATATTGCTCATTATGATCGAATATGAAACCCCGAAATGAAATGAGAAAAGGAGTCATCCCAAGGAGCGTAAATGCATGTTCATAGCCTGCTCATTGCCGAATGCTTTTAGCAGACTTAACGAAGGCTCGAATTTTCTCCAAATCTTGAGCCCCGTTTGTCTCTACGCCTGAGCTAACATCCAATCCGACCACTTTATGGCCCGACTGGCCCAGCTTTTTCACCGTGTCGACCACGTTTTCCGGGTTTAATCCTCCAGCCAGGATTACCCTCAATCCTTCATCACTATCGAGGACCTTTTTGACACCGGTCTCCTCCAGAAGCTCACCAGAGCCTCCGGCACCAGAGTCCAGCAATGGAAGAGTGTGGTATGCTCGGCGAGCAATGCCAAGGTCACCAGGGGCAAATTTGCGAATGACAGGAACTGGAATCAAACTAGACCACTCCAATGGCTCAGATCCATGCAGTTGCACAACATCGAGACCCAACTTTTGTTGTTGAGAAAGAACGTATGATAGCGGCTGGTTCATGAACACACCCACGAGCAAAGCACGAGAAGGGTGACGCAATATATTAGTAGAGTGGTCGAACCATTCCAATGATGTCGCGTTTATCGGCTGCTGTGATGTACCGTCCGGGCGAGCGGTCGACTTGACTACCTGGGAAATGCGGAGCGCCACATCATCTGGTACAAGTCGTGAGCGGCCCTGAACCATGATAATACCAATCAAATCTGCGCCAGCTTGGATAGCAGCCAGAGCTCCTTCTTCGGTCCGAGTTCCACAGATCTTCACCAATGGAGAACTTAGTGATGCACTAGCATTTGAATTAGAACCGCCGAGAAGCTGTGACACAAAGGCAGAGGTATCGGGTGCCCTCATAAGAGCCTCTCCGACAAGAATGGCCTTAACACCGTCTTTCTTATATGCTTCCACGTCCTGGGGTCCCGCGATCCCACTAAGGGCACACACAATTGTGCTCTCAGGCACTTGATCCATTAGGCGACTGGTAGTTCCGAGATCGACCTCGAAGCTCGTCAGGTCTCGGTTGTTGACACCGATGACTTCAGAACCCAGATCGACTGCAATCTTCATCTCTTCGGGGGTATTGACTTCGACCAGAGGCTCCATGCCGAGACTGCGCGAGTAATGATACAGTCTAGTCAACAGCTCAATGTCCAGCATCTTCACAATCAGCAGAACTGTATCAGCTCCAGCCAAACGTGCCTCCAGGATCTGATACTCGTCAAAGACGAATTCCTTTCGGAGGACAGCCGGTCGGTTGGTGAGTCCCTCCAGACTCTGGCGAACAGCCCGCAGGTCATCTATGGTGCCCTTGAACCACTCCGGCTCTGTGAGGACCGAGATAACGCTAGCGCCAGCCTTAGCATACTCCCGTGCTTGAGCAGGAGCACACACATCGGCGGAGATGATGCCCTTCGAGGGTGATGCACGCTTGATCTCGGCCATGAGTGAGAGAGGATAGTCTGATTGTCTTAGGCGCGCAGGGAATGACAGTTGAGGAGGCGCAATGTTCAGATCATACGCGGCTTGAAGAGCCTCTGGCCGCAGAGCCGGAATTTTCTTCTGCTCCTCAACAGCATTTTTGCGATGAGCGTAGATCTTGTCCAAAATAGATAATTTCTTGTCTGAAGGCGCAGCTGCAGCTGCGGCTGCTCCCTGCTTGTTATCCCAGGTCCCAGCGGTGAGCTCCAAGAAGTTTCTGAACATCTTGCGCCCATATTGCGTTAGAATACTCTCGGGGTGGAACTGAACACCCTCCACTGCGAACTCCTTGTGTCTAACACCCATAATGATGTTCTTGCCACTACCGTCCTGCAGCTCGACCCGCGAAGTCACTTCCAAGCAATCTGGAATAGTCGAATGTGTTCCGGCGAGCGAATGGTACCGGGTGACATCAAGTGAGGCTGGCAATCCCTGGTAGACGCCCTTGGAATCATGCTTCAACTCTGATGTCTTTCCGTGCAGAATTTCGCCGGTCACGTCCACCTTACCACCAAACGTGGTGATCATACATTGTTGGCCCATGCACACACCAAAGATCGGAATCTTTCCGCTGAAATATTTGATTGCGTCGTTACTGATTCCTGCATCGGTCTCGGGGTGGCCAGGGCCAGGACTGATAACCAGTTGAGTAGGCTTCTTTGCAACCAAGTCCTCAACAGTGACTTCGTCATTGCGGTAGACCGTGACGGTGGCGCCTTCAAGAACAAGGTACTGGTAGACATTCCAGGTAAATGAGTCGTAGTTGTCGATCAAAATGACGTTGGACGCGCTGGCCAATTTGGCCGCTTTGGTGGCATGGTGGGGGGAGTGGTCAACAAGGTCCGCCATGACCACGAGTTGTCGTAGGAGATCGGGGGGATTGAGAAGATATAATAATCGCTATTCTGAGAGCGTCGGAATCCCACACACCATAAACCGAATCAAATATTTGCGAATTGCCTTTGTCAGACGGAAATGAGTCAAAAAAGAATGCCGGTTCAAGTTGCCATTCACCGCCCGGCAATAAGATCAGATAGGGCACCTGATTGTTGACCCAGTCGCGGTGAATAATATTCTTTTGAAGCTCCTTCTCAATTCAAGAGCTCCCCACGCTCGCCATCTACCTTTTTTTCTCGCTGTCCCGTCACCTTCCGCGGTGTCGCCCCGTTCCGCTCTTTCTTTCTATCCTATGATGATCTAATTGCCCAAAATGGCTCCCGTCCCGGAGGCCTATTTCCCGTCCCTGGACCAGTGCTTCTCCGGGGACGTTCAACTCTTGTATGTCTATTCTAATCACCTGTTGTCATAGAAACCATAGGCTAATATATTGCAGGTCCTGGAAAAGAGCTTTTCTATACGCCATTGATCCCGAAAGTCATGCTGACGATGGAGGCAATATCGATGTCTTCTTTTCGCACCCCGAATCCATTCGCCTACTCTCTGATGGCTTAAAACCATTCCCCTCCCCTTCCGCACAATCCAAAACCGAATTCGAATCCAAGACCGCCGCGATCCATGTTGAGACCAATGGCCAAAACTCTTTTGACCTCAAGGAGATCAAGGCGGATGCGCTATGGTTAGCCAAAGAAGCCGGAATCGACGAGATTACTGCTCTCCGTATCGCTGTATTAGAATGGCAGAACCGCCCGGCAACACGCCTCACAATCGGCTTTTCCAGCGAGGAAGCGACCAGTTTACAGAGCGCGGCTGGGACAGAGAATCTTCGAGGCTCTCTGGCCGGCCCCAACTTCGCCAACCTATTGAATCAAACAGCCAGAAGCGACGGCGATCAGTCATTCGAAAAAGAGGAGAAGAGACGTCTACGAATCCGCGAGGTGTATCTCTCCGAGGCAACCCATGTAGTAAAGACACTTCGCAAACTGCTTGCTCTGTCCCTACACGATGGTATTTCAGCCGACTCGACCGCCCCCGCTAGTTATGATCGTAAACTTGCTTTGCGGAAAATAGGGACCATAATCTTCCAGAACAAGTCGACTGGCGATGGATTGAACCAATTTCTCCAAGAATGCATCAGCTCGATACGCAGTCGGTTAAAGATATTGGAAGGAGAAGGTGGCTGGCTCAGTGCCGCAGAAAGCAGCGAAGAACTAGAGAACATCTGGAGAACAAGTCTCGTGGAGGAGATTGTTCATATCGTGCAACTCATGTTCCACCAGCTCCAAGCCTCTGTGGAATTCCCAACTGCAGACCTCCTATTGTCCTGGCTACGGCTCATGGCTGATTATAGCTTCTTAGAGACAATTCAAGTGGTAAGTGGCTAGTGGACTATTTCGAGCTCTCGCGATGTTAACGTTTTCTTATAGCCTTGTCAGCAACCCATGGAAGTGTTGTTGCCCCTTCAAGCTTTTGTGTCACTTACCACATTGGCGTTTTTAAAACCCTCTCTCGCCATCTCTTCGATTCAGAATGATACACCCATTGAATCCTCGCCACAGCCTTACTTCTGGTGCAAGGAAAAGATCTCTGAAATCAATGAGATCTTTCTTACTACATGCGGTGATCTGAGCATCGCGAATCCGGCAGCCTTTTCATGGGGTCTGATCTTGTATACCATCCAAGAGCTGGCAGAATACACGAGAAACAGACGAGACCGTGATCTGAGCCATCATTCAGCTATCTCCTACAACGAGCAGACCCAGAATGCAGGATTATCTCGAGCAACTGAACAGTCATACTATGAAGAATTGCTTGACTGTGCCAGAACCCCGCAAAGCACGGCTGAAGATGCCATACCAATTCTTACGTCTGATGCCCTCAAAGAATCGGCATTTAACACCGTTATTGCCCTGGCTAGTAAGACCGGATCAATGTCAGCTGTCGATGATGGCCTGACAACCCGATGGGTGCGGCTGTCACTTCTCGACCTTGTCCGAGTTGCTGTCATGTTCTTGGATTACTCCCCGGAA